CACTGGCCCTGGCAAAAAATGTACATGCGGACGACTTCTAAAATGTATGGGTCATTGATATACAACAGTTTCAAAACCTCATGTGGCATGCAAGCCTTACACAACTTTGGGTGGTTCGACGGGTCCGTGAAAACCAAAGGCTCGTCAATGCCAATCCTCAGTTAAAAGAATCCTGACATTTCCCAGGTGGAAATCAAACTGTTAATATATACAGGTGCGGTGTATGCAAATATACATGATATACATGGCGCAGCTAAAATATTTTTCACTTATTTACATCGAATCAAACCCTTTGCCCGTTACCACTCCCATAAGCCCGTGTTGGTCTAGGAACTCTCGTGCATACATCCGTCGGAGTGTCCAAAGGTGGTCCTCGGGGTCCTCGGAGTTGTAGGCGTGGTAGCCAATGAAAACCTCGACAAGTTCCTGCCACAAATCCTGAGAAATGGAATCGGGAACCTTTCTCCTGAAATCTTCTGGTGAGCGGTAGAACTTGCAATGGTGGATGTGCTCCGTAAGGGTCATGCCTTGCAAGATCTTGGGATCTAAGGCTTCCTCCTTAATCCCCACAGGTTTGTTTCCCAAAGCACATCGCAACTCAGCTGCCAAAATGGCTTTTTTGTTCCAACAACCAGGACGGGATTTTGAACCATCAGCACCGGCACTTTCAACTGGTTTGGGTGGGTCTTCGCGGGGCAAGCCTGAAGTCTTGGGAGCAGACCCAGATGGCCATGCCTTCTCAACAAACGCCCCAGCCCCTTCATGGTTCACTGGTGTGAAGTTGATCTTCTGGGGGGCCTCCGGTTTTTGTGTAGGGGTGGTTTGCTTGGTGTCGGCTACCACCCCATGGTCAACATAGGTCAAAGTATATTCCCCACCGCTATGGTCCACATAGTGAGCTGTCCAACCCCCCGATTGGTTGACTGTGCACCCTTTGGAAGGCCACAACTCCAAATTCTCTTCAGTCACTGGGTGGTAGAAAAGCCCAGCCGGCCCGCACACCTCTTCATCTCCAGCGGAACCCGCAGACTCTGAGTGGACAATGGCACCTTTCTTTTCAAGTTCGGCAAAATCGACACCTGGAAACCAATCGTAATCTGGCATGTGATGGTCACCTGGCATGTCATATTCCAGATCCTCCTGACCCATCATGTACTCGGCAAACTGCATGCTATACCACCACCAATCATCCGAATCCCACTCGCCCTCCCAGCCCCAATCCCCCTCGAGTGGGGCATCAAAGGTAGTAGTTGCCGTCGACCAATCACCAGGGCTAGTGGATTCGCCGGATGGAGCAGCAGTGGATTCAGCCTAGGACGATCAGATGGGGAATGTATTCATGATTTGTTATAGGGGAATACAAAGAGAAATGCTTCAACATACATTTGCTAAGAAACATTCTCTTCACCGGGTTTCTTTTGGTCACTGCCAACTTCTTCAGAATCCTGAGTGCTGCAATGAAGCACATACAAACATAGTGAATGGTTTCGCCATAAGTTCTTGGCAAAAGCTGCCACATAGCCGCTTCATTTTATTTTAAACTTCCAAGTGCGCTTCTACATTTATTTGAACATTATGAGATTCGATAGATACATAGACCAACGAAGAACATATTTGTATATATACATATATACACACAATATATTTATATATAATATACATAAAATAAATATATATATATATACATAAATATATATATATAGTTTGTAGATCGACCCCCTGAAATCTTGCAGCCACGTGATCCATCGGTTCACCATCGATATCAGGAACAGCAGCCCCCAATTCCAAGGTAGGAGCGCGAAGAATCCGAGCCTGGGCAAAGCTGAGCAGTTCTTGGAATGAGGCTGATGGATCGAAAAATCACAAACTGATAGTGCAGCAAACCCTTGACGTTGGGAAAGAAATATGATCACTATAGTTCACAAATTAAGCCCAAGAATTCCGTGATTGGGTGATTTCATTGAAACATGGTTGGTCGAGAAGCCGTTTCCGGGTCAGCATCCGTGGTCGCAGCCATGCTTTCATCCTTGGATTTCAAGAAACAACAAGAAGGCTATGTTCAGGATCCGATTCAAGAAACAACATCTGTTCAGAATCCAGTTTTGCTTTTGTGTATGGTCCCACATCATCTCGCAAAAGACTGGTTAAAAACAGTTGCACTGGTTCGACTTCTGTTTTGCTGTTGCCAAGAGTCCGCCCAAGGAGATGGGTATGATGGATCCCACTGCTTGTACAGCTCCAGCTTCCACTGCGAGTTCTCAACCTCCTTGCAAAGATGCTTGGTACAGGGATCTGAGGGATAGAAAGGCAGACAGACACACAGACAGACAGATAGATAGACAGACAGGTGGATAGATAGGTGGATTGGGGGATAGATGGATAGATAGAAAGATAGATAGATAGATAGACAGACAGATAGATAGATAGGTGGATATGTGGACAAATGGATAGATGGGAAGATGGAAAGATGGATAGTAGATGGATAGATGTGTAGATAGATAGATAGATAGATAGATAGATAGATAGATAGATAGATAGATAGATAGATAGATAGATAGATCGATAGATCGATAGATCGATAGATCGATAGATCGATAGATAGACAGATAGATCGATAGAAAGACAGGCAAAAAGAAAGATAGATAGACAGATGGATAGAAAGACGGAAAAACCGATAGACAGAAAGAAAGATAGGTAGAAAGATGGGTAGATAGGCAGACAGAAAGAAAGATAGGTAGATAGATAGATAGATCGATAGATGATTACATAGATAGATATATAGGTAGGTAGGCAGGCAGGCAGGCAGATAGATAGATAGATAGGAAGGTAGGTCGGCAGAAAAATGGAAACATAGGTAGGTAGGGAGAAAGAAAGACAGGTACATGCGTACATACAAACATCATTCATAGATACATTCATACATACATACATCCATACATGCTTACATGCATATATACATACATACCTATCTGCCTACCTACCTACCTACCTACCTACATACATACATACATACATACGCACATACATACATACATGCATGCATACATACATACATACATACATACATACATATATATAAATGTGTGTGCCTATCTTTATTACTAACTTGTTATGTATGTGCGTCGTTTTTTTTCGAAATAAATCTTCGTATGTGAAGGTGTGGATATTTATGGCAGTGATAATTGACATAACTTTCACGTGGTTATGTTATTCCAGTTTTTTTTGTGAAGACGTATGGGCACGCAATGAGAATCAAAACGGTATGATTAGCGACCGTGAGACCCCAAAACGGCTCCTCTGGGTTCCATGGCAAAGTAGGCGAGGTATCCATATTGCGCCACTGGTTCCTTCTAGCTTTTTGGGCTAGGTCGTGCAAACAGCACACCTGCTCCTTGAGCCACTCTTGCCAACTGAAACCAGAAGTCATCGGAACCTCTAGGCCTCTCTGTTTCATCATGAGACCCACAGCCTGACGAAAGCAAGCTTTGGTCCAGAACCGTTTTGACTTAACCTCTTTAGCCGCGTCCCTCACCAAAGCAAATGCTTTTCGGGTTTTGCGAACGCGGAGAGAGGGCTGGTTTACTATGGTTCCAGTACGGGAAAGGTATTGACCCCCATCAGGTTTCACAAACCCTTCAAAAATGGCATCAGCCAACCGTTGAATTATGCTGTGGCGCTCCATACTTCGAGCCCATGCAGCTGAGGACCGATTTGGTGAGCTGAAATGGTGATGATTCTGGATCAAATGGTGATGATTCCGGCCAAAAAAAACAAAATACTGATGCTTTCTTCGAATGATCCCCCACACTTTTTTCCTTTTTTCCCACCTGCGCATTGCACTCCCAGATATAGGAGTGCAATAAGTCTTCGATACCAGCAGATCAGCTTTTAAATCAACAAGACTCAGTTGTTTTCGTGCTGTGGCAGATCTTGTCTCGCAGAAACTCATTGGTTTTCAGCATATCTTACTTGTTTTTCTATGCACATGGGAGAGAGACAGTCAAACCCATATGGCTGACACGGTTATAAGTACCGTTGCTGGCTTTTAAGTACCGTTAGCCACTTGTGTACCGTTAGCCCGTCTTGGGAAGGCAAAGTAGTGGGTGAGTTCAGGGATAGAAAAGTTGTAAAAGGCATCATTGACGTCTGCCTCAATCCCCCACCCATTGCCTTCCTCAACTTCTGCCAAGTCCAGATCCGCATAGCATCTTGCAGACCCCAAGCGGGTTGTCGGCGGCGGTTGGTGGAGTTTATTGGTCCCTCTGCAATCCAAAACCATTCTGATAGCATCAGGTGTCTTCTTCTTCACAAAGAAAGCTCCAATGAATGACTTAGGAGAACGTCTAAGTTTAACCAAGCCCGACTTATGTAGTCGCAAAATGAAGTCCAGCCTCCTTGAACGGTCATACTTTAATGCAGGATCCCAGTAAGGTGAGAAACCAGAATCATCCGCATGATTAGGCAGCAAAATCTGTGACTCATAATGTTCAACCAACTTTGCAGGCTCCACAGGCAAAAACTTGGAAATCCTCTTCGGCTGAACCTGAGATCGAAGCACTTTCAACTTCCCAGGATCATAGGACGCAAGATTGTTCGGCATTCCATCGTAGGAGAATTCGGCAGCCTGCAGCTCATGGAGGGCAGTCTCAGGAGTCATGTTCAGCGGCTTGTCACCATGAAGCTTCAGTGACTCCACAACTCTACCCATCACAAAATCCTGAACTGCAGTGGGCGGCCGTTCTGTGGCAAAATGTGGAAAATTGAATGAATTACTGGTATGCAAAGCAAGCTTGTTCAGAGAATCTCCAATCCATTGAGCTCGCTGCGGTTCAAAACACCCAGATTCAGCGGCCAGATCACGCAATGCCCCACTGTCCAAGGGAAAAGGATCCCCATGCCGCCGCCTCTGATGACCAACCTTCATTGGACACCTCCAGAAAAACTGAGCAAGGAGCGGGACCAAGGAGGTACTGGACCAGCTCCACAAAAGCCAAGTGGAACTAAGAGGCCGCAGCGGAGCCAACCGCCCCGCCGCCATCAGCCTTCTTTTTCTTCTTTTTCCACTTGTTCTTGCCACTGTCTTCGTCATCCTCATCGCCAAACTTCTTGCCACCTCTTCTTCCAAACTCCTCCTTGAAGAGCCGTGCCTGCTTCTGGATCTGCGACCTTTCCTTCAGCTTCTCAGTCACCCAGCTGGTGATGGCTGAGACGTAGGCTTGGCCTTGTGCAGCAATTGGAGTCTCACTGACAACATCCAGACCAGAGAAGTCTGGGGCTGCTGGGTTTCTCGCCACTGCCATTTCAAGCACAATCAAACGTCTCACAACGTTCTCCATGCATGTGAGGTTGCTCAGGTCGAGCTGGTCTTTGGAGAAGCCAAGTCGCAAGGTCTCAATCAATGACCGATGTTCATGAGCAATTGCAGAACTGTTGGAGATCCCCGATGAGCGAACCCACCCATTGTGATATGAGATCAAATCACCAGGACCCTCACGGATCGCAACCAGATACTCTCTCGTTGCACGCGGGCCGACAAAGCCCCAGTCATCGAACTTCTCTTCAGACATAAGTGCAAGTGCATCTTGAAGCGTCATATGTCGTTTGCCTTGAGGGTCCTTGTGTTCTCCCAGCAGCCTAGCATCCCCCAATGAATCCTTCTTGGACTCCTTGAATCTTTCGATCTCAGAAGTCGCCATCTCTCGCACATACTCGGTTTCATCATCCCACTGCACAACACCATGCTGACCCAGTGCCACAACGTCTCCGACGATTTCGACAGGAAGAGCCTGCCCAAACCGAGCTGAGGAGGGATCAGACACATACCATTGCTGGATGTCAACATTGACAACTTGAGCATCGCCAAGAATTGATCCCATGGTCTTCGCCATTCTTCTCTGGCGCTCCATCTCAGCCCTAGGCACTTCATCAAAGACATAGCACTCATCAGCTATGTCTGCAGGAAAAACACCATGTCGTGGCAAAATGCGGTGTCGACGAGCACTGAGGTCTGCAACTTCAAGTTCCAGATCAGGAGTTAAAAGAACCCATTGACTTCCAGAAACTCGATGCATCAATATTCTATGATGGTGAAAATAACCCCCAGCATCTTCCGGGAAATGGAGCAGGATTTGTGGTTCCGGTATATTGAGTGACCGGTCCATGTCTAAGCCCTTTCTTCTTTGATTCGAAGCCGGTCAGATGGTCGGCAAGGGCCAGCTTTCACAACTGGCGGGGCAACAACCTCTGGCACTGCAGGCAAAGCACGATGGATCTCGGGTTTCACCAGATGCTCACTGGTTTTGAACACACGTAAAGCAGCCACCCAACACACCACAGAAACAAAAATGACAAAAAGAAGGATGATGGCCCCTTGATTCGCTGTACGCAACCAGAAATTGGATTTCTCACACGCTTCAAGGACTTGATTGAATCCAGTCACAAGCTCACGAGCCCTAAACACCTCCACACGCAAGGATGAGATCTCTGCCTCAAGAGATGAATAGTGTGACCAGCCAGCCCAGGATCGAATGAGATGTGACCCTACAAGGAGTCCCCAATTCAGACCACCAGCATCCATAGGCGCCTGGAACCCTAGACTGTAGCTCTTGAGGATAAAATGTCACAAACATGGGGCTTTCACGTTTCCACTTGCACAAAAAACGCAAGCTAATCATATATATATGATATATATATATATGGATATACATTGCAGTTTCGACCCAAGTTGACCAACCATCATCCTCGGGACTTAACGGCGGGAGGATTCGTTCTTGACGGTCTTGACATGTCTTGACCCATCCCATGGGATATCTTTACCCCAGACAGCTGAGGCACCCATGGGCATCTGAGTCAGGTTCACCAAGGGATTGTTGTCCAAATGTTCACCCACAGCATAATCTCCAACGATGTGATAGCCAGCCGCTACGTGGAACCAGCCCAAGACCTGGATCCGCCGTGGGTACGGGCAACTTCAGCAAAATGTCCCACAGTCACCAGGAGTCCCATTGTGGGATAAACTCAGTAAACTCGGATAAACTCGAGAATCTGGAGATGCTAACCACACCAACCACTCTAGTGAGCCAACAAGTAGGATGATCTTGTGCTAAATCCGTGGATGTTCCGCGAACGCATCACGATTAAAACACCAATCTTTTCAACCCAGCAACTGACCGGGGAGGGAACAAAAAGGATCCTATGGCAAACCAACACTGCTATGGAAAATCATAGGAATTTGAAAATGGTGCTCTGGTAATAATGCTTAAACCATGTTTCCATAGCTATGGTATAAATTGTATAAACCAACTTGGAATTCCTATGATCCTGTGAAAAATGAATGACCCATGTGAAAACGATTCAACTATTGAACAATCGTGTTAGGGTTTTTTTTCCATTGCCGCGATTTCCAAACCCATCCCCCAACTGCGGGAGTACCCGACTAAATCGTTTGCTATTACATGTTTGACAAACTAATCATTTGCGTGCGGGTCAGAATCCTTCACACCCAAATGCGTCGTGACTTGCAAAAAAACAACCAAAGCATGTGCGGGTTCTTGGCCCCCGATGTTGTCCAATATTTCAAGGGATTGCCAAAAAACCAAACAAGAACCAACATTCAGCTTTGCTACAGCAATTAAATATCAAAATTCCCAGATGGGAAAGGAGGTTCCACATTCCTAGCCATTACAGTATTTGTTGTGATCTATAGGATCCATTACTTGCACGTGCATCCTAGTTCTGAGTGGGATATCAGTAGTTTTCCCAGATCTGTAACATATGGTATGTTGTAAAACCTATATTGATATTAGTATGATATATCCATTCTGACTAAATAGTGTTTTAGATCTTATCCATAATGGCATGGCCAATCCACAAAAATAATAATAGTTTGCTAGTTATGATTATTTTCCAAACAAAATAGCTGATTAAACTAACTATCTAATGTTGGGGATGATATCATTTAATATCCATGGTAACTAATGTTAACAAGAAATATGTACTTATATACCGTGAAATATGATGTTTTGGAATCATTAATACGGGGTCTGTGCGTAATAGTTTAAAATAACAATCTAGTATCTGGTTGGTGGTTTCAACCATCTTGAAAAATATTAGTCAGTTGGGAAGGGTTATCCCATATATTATGGAAAATAAAAAATGTTCCAAACCACCAACCAGATATAGTATAGTATATCCATGGTTTCTATAAGATTTTCCCTAGCAACAATACGCAGTGACCCGACATGGACCCGACGGCATGTCCAGGACACGGCCAGCATAGCCACACGGCCGTGTTTGAGCTCCATAGCCCTCAACTGCAAGATCTCCTGGTGGCTTGTCATCAAACACATCCTGCAGCAGTTGGTGTCCATAGTTATCCAAAGTACCTATAATGGGAAGCCAACTGGTGATTTCAATAGTTGGTTTCCATTCTAACTTATCATCAATGTTATCATGGGATGATCAATAATAATGGGACTATAATGGGATCATAATTAATTTATCACATTACAATCCCATTATAGTCCCAGTGTTTCAAAGGAGTTCCAATAGTTTAGAACCAGTGGATTTCTTCGGCTATACAAATACAGTATAGTGTGTGTATATCTGTATATCTGTTGAAAAACATGCCAGAAATATGAATATAGTTGTATCTACCTGTACACACACACTGTGTATACATCTAGGTCATCATACAATACATATATACCATCATAAAATACATATAGATGATCATATAGAGTATATAATACTTTATATATACTGATATATATATATATGTGTGTATACGTGTATATATATATATACAATTATATATATATATATATTTATATAACTATTGTAACCCCCCCAACTTCCTCACCACCCGTCCCGCCGGTTCCTCCTTGCTCTTCCCGTTGGTGATGCCGGCGGGATCCCAGAAATCGTCCCCGAAGGGTCCGCCGGTGCCCGCGATGGCCTCCTGCGCGGGGCTCAAGGCGCGGAGCGGCGAATCGGTGTAGAGGGACCAGCTGCCCCAGGCTTCGCCGGTGAGGCCGTTCTGGAAGAACATGCCTTGGTGAAGGGGGGAAGATGAGATGAAAATCATGGGATTTATATATAATATGTATGAATATTTATATATATATATATGTATATATGTATGAATATATATATATATATGTATATATATGTATATATATATATATGTATATATGTATATACAGTATATATATATATATGTGTATGACAGAACAGAGCATTCTAAAACTCAGGTTCGGGTGGGAATGATGGGATGGTGCTGAACATCATCTAAACATAAAGGCTCTATTCGCCTCAGGGCGGGGAATAAGGAGATGGTGGTCACGGGAAAGCATTGCTACAACATGTCAGTTATTTTCAGTTTAGGAAATTAGGAACTGGTTCAATCATGAATGATCGGATGATGGCTTGAGGCATAAGTTGTTTTTAATGTATTGCTTTTTTGGGGGGAAACTATTCTAAAGCATCCTAAAACTTATTTTGGGGATGCGAATGGTGAAGGGAAAGGATCCCCTAATATGTCCCAATCTGCCTCACGAATGCTCAAGGGACCGCATCCCCCAAAAATGGTTGATGTCCAACGTTTTTTGAACGACAATGACATTTACCTACCTTGGTTTTATCACCAGGTTATCTGTTACCAGCACGAAATGGGTGGTGAAAAGAAACACCAGTTATAATAATTATAGTAACAGGTTAAGGATTGATCCTCTTTCAGGAAACTTGTGTAAAACTGATTTTGGGGATGGTGCTGGACAATACTATCTATCCCTTCCAACATTGCTGACTTCGAAACTAGGGTCTGCCAGAATGCCCCAACAATAGGCAATTGGTGTCAGTATGGGTTTAGTTTGACTTGATTCCCATTTGAAGATTCGAAGATCGATACCCTCTGGTAAACAAACATAGCGAACTGGAAAATCACCATCTTCAAAAACAAATCAACGATTTCATTATTTCTATGGGCCATGGCTTCAATAGCTATGTTAGTCATTACCAGAGGGTACATAGCGACCTTTTCTTTGCCGGTGACGCCTCCATTGCTGCTGAGCTACCAATGATCGCCATCATCGCCTCGGCATGAGTACGGGGTATCCTTGAAGTTCAAGGTTGACGCAACTGGAAAAAACAACCCCAACAAGGGATAGAATCCCAAAATATGCATGCTACTGTGTGTAGATGTATATATTATAAATGTGTATATAGTTGGTATGTTACGGGTACATTTAACGTGCGATAGAAAAAAATGGTGTTTGGATTCCTGATGGGTCAATTGGTTAGGACCGTTTACACGAGGGGGTAGAACCGTTTACACAAGGGATATGTCCAACCATGTTATGACTCAAAGACAGGATGCTACAGAGATCACACAAATCACATCCCTCACAATCTTCACATCCCTCACAATCTGTTTACTGTCCCAGCAGAAGGGAGAGACATGGCTAATCAGGTCAGGTCAGGCTTGTGCCTTTTGCTGGCCTTCCACATGTGTGGCCTACAATGTCCATACTTCCACACAAATACCCCTGACAAGATGATCAACCATAGGCCCCTTTCATATGATTTGATTGTTTCTCTTCTATTTGGTCGCTGATCCCAATGACTGGCTTTTCACCCCACTGACATGGTAGTGTTCGTCCAGTACTGAGGTGACGAATTGAATTCCCCCCAGCTTCGCTTCACCAAAGCGACCAGTCGTCCGTTGGCAATCTCTGCCGCCAATTTCTTCTCCTTGGTGCCCGCGGGGGCCTTCACCTGGGCCAGAAAAAATCAACCGTTCGGATTTACCCTCTGGCCCTCTGGTAAACCAACACTTCGCGAACTGGAAAATCACCATTTTTAATAGGTAAAACAACTATTTCCATGGGCCATGTTCAACAGCTACCTTAAATTACAAGAGGGTAATCGATGAATGTCATGAACATCATGGTTTAATGGGTAAAGACTGGTATTGGGATTACAATGGAATATAGTGGGGATATACTAGGATTTCACCATCAATCATATGGAAAATTATGGATTTCAGCGAATTACAACTTGGCCTTGTCTGAAAAAATATGTATACCCCAAGAACAATGACTATTTAAACTAGACGACGGATGGCCCGAGAGCGTAGAGGAGCAGAGTCTTCTTCTGCTGTTAGTATGGCGACACTATATTACAAGACAATATATTAAAGATGTATTACAGGCAGACGAGAAGAGTAGTATCAAGACAATATTATATGGCATCGTATCTTTTGCATCGTATCTTTCAAAAAGTTTTTCACGCACAGAACTTTTTACAGACAGACGCTTTTGCACACAGACGCTTTTACACACAGACGCTTTTACACACGCTTTTACACACACAAACACTTTTACACACAGAGACTTTTACACACAGACGCTTTTACACACAGAAGCTTTTACACACAGACGCTTTTACACACAGACGCTTTTACACACAGAGGCTTTTACACACAGACTTTTACACACAGGCTTTTACACACAGAGACTTTTACACACAGACGCTTTTACACACAGAGGGTTTTACACACAGACGCTTTTACACACAGACGCTTTTACACACAGAACACTTTTACACGCAAACACTTTTACACACAGAGACGTTTACACCCAGAAGCTTTTACACACAGACGCTTTTACACACAAACACTTTTGCACACAGATACTTTTACACACAGACATACACAGACGCTATTACACACAGACGCTTTTACACACAGAGGGTTTTACACACAGAGACTTTTACACACAAACACTTTTACACACAAACACTTTTACACACAGAAGCTTTTACACACAGACGCTATTACACACAGACGCTTTTACACACAAAAGTTTACACACAAACAGTTTTACACACAAACACTTTTACACAGAGACGCTTTTACACACACAAGCTTTTACACACAGACGCTATTACACACAGACGCTTTTACACACAGACGCTTTTACACAGAGACGCTTTTACACACATCGCAATTTTACTTCAGTTTTTGGCGATCCAACCTCATTTCGTGCGAAAGGGACGTGCGAAAGGGTCGCGCGGGACAAGTGGAAATCGCAATTTTACCTCAGTTTTTGCCGATCGAACCTCATTTCGTGCGAAAGGGTTCACCGGAAACACGAAATCGCAATTTTACCTCAGTTTTTGAGGATCGAACCTCATTTCGTGCGAAAGGGTTGCGCCGGACAAGTTGAAATCACAATTTTACCTCAGTTTTTGGCGATCGAACCTCATTTCGTGCGAAAGGGTTGTGCGGGACAAGTTGAAATCACAATTTTACCTCAGTTTTTGACGATCGAACCTCATTTCGTGCGAAAGGGTTGCGCCGGACAAGTTGAAATCGCAATTTTACTTCAGTTTTTGGCGATCGAACCTCATTTCGTGCGAAAGGGTTGCGCTGGACAAGTTGAAATCACAATTTTACCTCAGTTTTTGACGATCGAACCTCATTTCGTGCGAAAGGGTTGCGCCGGACAAGTTGAAATCGCAATTTTACTTCAGTTTTTGGCGATCGAACCTCATTTCGCGCGAAAGGGTTGCGTTTCGTGCCGTCTCGTTGGCACTGCCCCTGCTCCCGCCTTCAAGAGAGAAATAGAAAAGAAGGAGAGGGCAAGAGGGCAAGAGGGCAAGAGGAGAAGGTGTGAGATGAGATGTAAAGATGAGAAGATGTGAGAAGATGTGAGAAGATGTGAGAAGATGTGAGAAGATGTGAGAAGATGTGAGAAGATGTGAGAAGATGTGAGAAGATGTGAGAAGATGTGAGAAGATGTGAGAAGATGTGAGAAGATGTGAGAAGATGTGAGAAGATGTGAGAAGATGTGAGAAGATGTGAGAAGATGTGAGAAGATGTGAGAAGATGTGAGAAGATGAGAAGATGAGAAGATGTGAGAAGATGTGAAGATGAGAAGATGAGGAAGAAGATGGGAGGATGAGAAGATGTGAAGATGAGAAGATGTGAAGATGAGAAGATGTGAAGATGTGAAGATGTGAAGATGAGAAGATGTGAAGATGAGAGGATGTGAAGATGAGAGGATGTGAAGATGAGAAGATGTGAAGATGAGAAGATGTGAAGATGAGAAGATGTGAAGATGAGAGGATGTGAAGATGAGAAGATGTTTTACAGACCCCTACTATTGGAAGAACCCTGCGCTCGGACGCTCTCGGGAAAAACATAGGGAAAACGATGATAAACGTGGCTGGATGGTAATTCAACCACCAATCACCAAATATGTCTATATAAATATGTCAAATATGTCTCATCTGGAGAAAGATGAACACATCCCGAATCAGAGTTTTAGGCCTGATCTAGGGTGGCTTCCCTGGCCAGAAGTTATAAAACCGGTGAGGGTGTAGTGAGGTTGCTGCGATGCCTGTGCGCCTTTCCTTTGTCGGTGGATGTTTTCCAAACCCACATGACCCGCAGATATCATTCCCATGGACTCCAGGTTTGTTTCGAATATCTAAAAGGGGTCAAGCTGAAACCAAAAAAACAATCCAAAAAACAATCCAACAACTCTAAAATGGAACATCAATGACGTCATATCCCATTCATTTCCCATTCAACGACCACCATTCAATGCCATCCGTTCATCCCAGTGACGTAGCTGTTGGGCACACCCAGGAAACCGGCGTTCTCGAAGTCACCAGGAGGGCGTTTGGGATCATCCACCTGGACGTGGGAATTTCAGGATCCTATGGAGGTACGTTAGTAAGTTAGTACCATATTTCAGGCCATATTTTCTGAGATATTCCCGTAAAAATAGGCCAATACATATGGTAGGTATCTCCAATTTGTTCGCTTCCTGAAATGGCCATTGATAATGTGGGTGAAACAATGCCATAAACCACCCATTTGGGAATGGTAAACATACCACCTATAAAAATGGTGATGTCTGGGGGGTGGTTTATGGCATTGTTTTATCCACATTAGAGTATTTGTAGCCAATTTAACCATCTAACACATAGCCAATTGAGTGAGCCTCTGGTCATTTTAACAGTCTGCTATTGAAGCCATGACCATTTAGTTTGACGATTTACCTATTAATAGCATGGTGATTTTCCGTAGCTAATTTAGTTTACCGGAGGGTAAGGGAAAACATATCCATCATCTATGGTTCAATGCGGTGGTCTAGGGAAAATCTACCGGAAAAATGTTTACTATCAAAAAAGGGGGTTGTCTGTAGATGTTCCCATATTTTCCCTCAAACCAAGACTGGGTAAATGGTTGGTAAATCATGGTAAATCCCATTACATCCCCCAATTTGTATATAGTATTGGCCAAATTTCCTGAAATGGCCTTCCAAATCGAACAGATCCGCTACAATTCCACGAGTGATTTCAAGTGGGCTGCATTATATATATATGTATATTATATACATATATGTATAATATACATATGTATATATTTATATATAATATATACACACATATATATATATAATATACATATGTATATATAATTATATATAAAATACATATGTATATATATATAATATACATATGTGTATATATATATATATTCCAATTATTTATTTGATATATATATATATCTCTATACGGAGGTTTCCTAAAATGGAGATACCCCAATAGCTGGATATTTTTAATGCGTTGGAGGTACCCCCCATTTTAGGAAAGCTCCAAGTTCATATTCAACATCATATGGTCCCATGATGTGTAAATCCCACCCCCATCCACCATGTTTTCTGGGTGTTGAGGATGAACGCGATTAATTATAGTTGGTTAGTTCATGTTAATTAGATATAAACTTGTTGGTGGTTTTAACCATCTTGAAAAATATTAGTCAATGGGAAGGATGACATCTTATATATGAAATGGAAAATAAAAAATGTTTGAAACCACCAACCAGTAAATATAAACACCCAGTTTTCCTATTTTCATATCCCATCACATGGTGAATATGATTTCATAAACAGATATGACATGAAAATGGGATTTAATTGTGTATATATCTATTATAGATGGGACAATATAATTTACATTTCATATCAATATGGATGTGTCCTAAATTAGGGGTACCACAAATCATCCATGTTTGTAGGATTTTCCCTTATAAGCCATCCAGCTATGGGGGTAACACCATTTGTAGAAACCCCCTTATATACCCTCTGACTATTTAACATAGCTATGGAGAATGGCCCATTTATAGATGATTTTCCCGGTAAAACTTCCATCCATAATGGATTTTCCATAGCTATGTTAAATAACCAGATGGTAAACCCTATTACAGACACTGCTGACAAGGGCAGCGCCAGGAGACGTACTGGAAGAGCTCCACTGTTCCCGCGAAGGCCACCATCTGTGCCCAGCCGCTCAAGGGCACCTTGCCTCGGAAGTTGTGGCTGGGGGCAGAGTTTCAAGTTGTGGATGCCCAAGTTTGGGATTCTGGAAGATGTTCTTTACATACACACATTGTATATGTATATTGAATATGTATTTAAATATTATTTAATCATGATATATATATATATATGTAGTATCACACACATATCACACATTTAAAGTACAAGCAAACGGTTCCCGTTCAAAAAATGACGAGACACTTTGAAACCAGTGGTCATGCCGGTTCCAAACCATCAAATACAGGGTTTAAAGTACATGTGTGGAAGGGATCGAAGACCAGAATCAGGTAGTAGTGTGGCAGTTCAGTTGGACATAGTTGGCCACATGACTGACAAGTGGCTATCTGCAGGATCTATCTTTTTCGATGTGGGACCGCTTCATAAATTTAGGAATACATTGACCTCGATACAATCTTATCCAGACGATCCCAATGACTCATTCTACCCCTGGGTTAATTGTGGATTATCACTACTATGGTGGCCATTTGACTTTCAGGGATTGGACATACTGTGACATACTGTAACCTCGGTAGATATGCTGTCAGCTGGCTTGTCCAACTTCCTAGCCTTCATCCTGTGTACAGTAACCCTCCTATAAGCGTTATGTATCGGTCTGGGATTTGCCGACAACAAACAAACAAAAACACAGCGGACTCTTGGTCCTGGGCTTCCAACAGTTCCTAGTGTTTTTTTAAGACTGTCCTTGATATCATTTGATGATCGCAAGCGTCCGGCAACACCTCGTGACTGGGTATCAACCATCTCTCGTGAGATGAATGTCCAAGTCACCATTTTTTTGACAGCTCCTGCGTACCCTGACTGCATGGTCAAATAAGCTTATAAACAAACACAAATAACAATTATCAATTGTTGAAAAAAGACACCAGATCATTGGTTAGTACCATGTTTCTCCTTGGTTGTCTGACCAAATCATGGCTGTTTCTTGAGCGAAAGCATCCATCAATCCGCCCTGAACTTTTGTGGTTTCAACACCATTTCGGTGAATACTCGTCATGTGTGTGTATTGTATTCTTGTCCTGGTCCTATTTGTCGATGGTTTGTTTGTTTGTTTCTGGTTTACATAATGAATGGTTCTCACCAAAACTATCAATATAGTGGGCTTGTCCAAAAACAGGGCGTGCCGCACGCATGCATACCTCCAACTGGAAAATATCCCGATAAAATTTATACTACCGTGTTGGCAACCACCCCCCATTTATATCCATTTATCCACATTTTCCCCAGATATCCGGCTAAATCCTGATTATCATGTGGTTGGGAAACGCTTAGTTTTTTTAGCTCCTTGGCTCCCAAGCCAAAGGCGACATAGATCTGAAGGCTCCGCGAAGGAATTATACTGGGATTATGGGCCTAAAATTAAGTGCCTCAAGATACCCTTTGGTTATGACTAACATAGCCATAGAAAATGGCTACCATCTACAGATGATAAACACGATGATTTGTTGCTTGCAATAAACTGGTGAGTTTCCAGTCCGCAAACAGTGAACTAACCAGAAGATAAATAAAACTATAGATTATCCAATGATTATCCCATATTATCCCATAAAGTTCTATGAATTGCTATGTTTAAAGATGTTTAAAGTGCCTGAAGCATCCATTATTCAAATCCTTCAGTTCCCATCCGAGTCGCTGAAGGCAGCGAAGCCCGTAGGCACATCGCTGAATTTCAGGCCCAAGGACGGCGACAGATCGCCCGGCCAGCGGTAGTACTCCGGCACCTCGACGGGACGCGCAGTGTTCATGTGGTCGGTGTTGTTAGGGTTAGCAAAAAACAGCAGCTTAGCAAACAATATACTAAACATATAGTTTTTTTTCAAAAAAAATTGTGATGGAGATATAATTTCTGGCAATCGGATTGACTGAAAGTCTTGGAGTTGATCAAATTGAAACTTGAAGAATACGCAAACTGCCGGATGCGTCTTCCTGGCAAAAACTCGTCGCAAAGGTCACTTAAATTCACTGGGTACAGTATCAAAGTATAGTGTTTGAGGAGATATCCAATACGGAAGATGTTTCATTCACAAAGTTCATCCTACTCCCTGCAATTCCCCTGTCATTCGAGCCCAGTACGAGTTGATCTGTTGAACGGGATTGATTTTTTCAGCTGATGGGAAGACATCATGATCCCAGAGCCCTTTGCGTGTCTTGGAATTTGATCTCCCAGTTTCCTTAACACCCATGCAACTCAACAGAAGATCCTCTGCGAACATCTCCAATGTCGAGTTTTGTGATCCACATCGTTTTCCCCAAAAGACTACATCTCAGAGCCGTTCGAATCTGTGTTTTCCATATGGGGATGGGTCAATACCTATTAATACCATTTTTAGTGGGATGAACATCCATTTACCAGCTATTCTGATGTTCACCAGGGGTACAAGGTTTTGACACACTGCCATATCTTTTCTTCCGGGAGCTTCCACCATCCAATCCCAGGCGCGATGTATCCCAAGCAGGCGAACATCGCCACGCGGCCATGCTTCAGCTCCACATAGCGACGACGACGGAAGGATGCCACGTCGTCGGTCTTGGTGAAGCCCAAGGGGTCCCAAAAGCCTTCGACGTTTCGATCGGTTGTGGTATGTTGTGGTTGAAGATGGTGAGGGAAAATCTATAGGAAAACCAGTGAAAGCCCATGGGTTTCTTATCAAATATAAATAGCCTCTGGTAATTTAACATAGCTATGGATAATGGACCGTTTATAGATTATTTACCTATTAAAATGGTGATTTTCCATAGCTATGTAAACGTTTACCAGAGGGTAAATCTATGGGGTTTCCGAAGAAAAAACTATCCCTTGAGCCAATCCAATGGCTGAATGGGATACGTTTTTGTGGCATTTGGTAAACCAAGATAGCTATAGAATAGCACAATCGCACAACCTGAACTACATACCAGGTATATAAATCATATATATGTATGTACATCGGCAATTTTCCATAGCAATGTTAGTTTACCAATGGTTACCACAGGCATCCACAGGGTATATCCATATATCACGGGAAAACGGGGAGATGACCAAGTTTTATGTTCAAAATAATGAGTCATTAGATGTTATTGGCCGAAGCCTCATATTACGTTCCTCCAAGTTCCATCCTCAATATGGGGATTTCCAGAAATGGGGATACCCAAATTGATGTTTTTTTGTTGATGGAAAATTCGAAAATAAATTGGATGATTTAGGGATAGCCCTATTTTAGAAAACCTCCATCTGGATGATTCAACATGATTAGAATCTTCTTGGTAACCCTTGATACCTCCCTTCTTGTGGGTCCGGGGCCTACGGGAGGCTGGACGCCCAGCTCGGTCTCAAAGGCGTTGGAGCCGGTGTAGAGGCCATAAGGAGTTCCGAAGAGGCCATCCTGCACCTTGGAGAGGAGGGCATTACATACCATACATTGCATTGCATTGCATTACATTACGTCACATTACGTCACATTACATATTACATTACATATTACATTACATATTACATTACATATTACATTACATATTACATTACATTGCGCTACATCACATACATTTCAAAACGCTACATTACACTACATTACATCACATTACATTACATTACAATACATTACATTACATTACAATACATTACATTACATTACGTCTTCTTACATTACATTGCATTACATTACGTCACATTACATTACATGACATTACATTACATTACGTCACGTTACATTACATCACATTACGTCACATTGCATTACATTACATTATATTACATTACATTACATTGCTTTACTTACGTCACATTACATTACATTACGTCACATTACATTACATTACGTCACATTACATTACATTAAATTACATTACACCACATCACAAACATTACATCACATACATGTCAAAACGTTACATTACATTAAAGTCATTACATACATTACATCACATCCCATCACATCACATCACATTACATATTTATGTGCATATATTTTTTCAAACATTGGAACATCCCAAAGTGGACGGGTCACTATTTGTTTAATATCTGCTGTCTCAGCCCGAAATCTTGAAGTGCTCAGGCAAAAAACATAAATGGTGTGACGTCTCAGAAATGGTACAACTATGTACAACTGAATTTCGCTTAAAATGGAGATACCCCAGTCTAGGGGTTTCAATGGGAAAAATAATGATAAGATCGATGGGTACACCTATCTCTATATTTCTATTGATATGAAAATATATAAGATGGATATGTATCAATACATACATATATATAAATATATAGTTATGTATGGTGAGAGAGAGAGAGATATATATATATACAATATATATATATATTATCACATATGGGAAAAGACTTTTTTCAGACAGACCAAACTGGATTCGACATGTTGGAACTAAGAAGTATTATCATGTAATTGCTCAATTTATGTTTATTCAATGATCATAGTTTTGATGATAATCATCAAATCGAACCATACAAAATGGATAGTTGGATAGCTACGATCATTAACTATAGTTTCATTAATCATAAAAGACAGAATGAACGAGTTATCACTGAATATACTCGCAATGATCATATGATCATCATTTCTGAACAGTTTATGATAGTTGTATAGTCTACTGTAACTTCGTACTGGTTGGTGGCTTCAACCACCTTGAAAAATATGAGTTCGTCAACGGGAAGGATGACATCCCATATATGAAATGGAAAATAAAATTCATGTTTGAAACCACCAACCAGTAAATATAAACACCCAGTTTTCCTATTTTCATATCCCATCACATGGTGAATATGATAGTTATATAGTCTACCGATGTCTACTGTCACTTTGTATCGTTATCTTCCCATCCAATTCTTTCAGGCTCGCCCATGCCGAATGTCGACAGCGACGCTCTCATTGATGCAGGGAACCCAAAGGCCCACGATCGCCATCATGGCCAGACGGCCGTTGGCCAACCTAGGAGGATCGGCCGGATCGGCCGTGCCGGATTTTCGGGGAGCCACCAAAGATAGGGGGTCATCCCCATCACATGAAATTAGTGGTAGTTAAACCTCAGAAAACTGGATGGAATCGTGAAATCACTTTAAACTGGTTGGTTCCTAAACATTCTGGTTTTTTTCGTCATCCCCATCAAACAAGGTTTTGTAACCCTCCTATGGCAACCAATCAACCATCAATTGAACAGTATTTATCAAAACCGGTGTTATTGGCTACATGGGGTATAACCTGAACAAAATGCCAAAAAATGGTTAAACGTACTAAAATTATGGTATAAGACAGTGTAAAACACAATTTTTATGGGTACTTGGAGGGCCTAGGAAGTTACACCACTGTTGGTTGTTAAGGTCTAAAATCAATCAATTGGATTGCCTTTCTACCAATCCAATGGCTCGCCCAGCAACTCCGAGTTCAGGGCGCGCTTGCGGGCCTCTGCATCTTGCATTGGTTCAGCAGTGATACCCAGGACCATGTTGCCGTACCTGGCACCGGCGCGATGAAAACATTCGGGGTGGACTGTGGGGTGGACCTGCACACAATGAAAACTACCCGGGATTTACTGGGTCATGGGAATACAAGGGTTTATAACTAACCAAGTACTAGTAGACATAATGATTTACCTCCCGGTAGCTTGTTGGGTAGCTACTGAACATGGCCCCTTTATAGTTGATTTGCTGATTAATAATGGTGATGTTTAATAGCTATGTTACATTACGAAAGGGTAATCCAAAACAAACATGACTGTGATTAGAAAACATGTGGATTGATCGAGCAAAATTGGGCGGGGGCGACCTGTACTGCAAGTATTGTGTTGCACCAAGAAATTCGATGAGCTGTTCAACGGTTTGACCAACAAAAAACGCAACTTGTTGGTGGGGGAGACACCAGTCCCAAGAATTCAAGACCTCATCATTCCAAATCTTTTAAAAAATACCTAACTTCGAGTGATCCCCACCATGGCATTTCAAGGCATCTATTCTGACATATAGTCTGTTACCCATCCGAGAAGTTCATCGTCACACAAAAGAAACAGTGCATGCTATGCTACAAGGCACAAGAAATGGTTGGCCTCTGGCCTTCTGGCAATCTGTCTGGCATGTGTTTGGGTCCAGGGCCACTCCACAGCCTCCTGAGCTTGGGATGTGGCACCGCGTCCAGCGCCACTCCGCAGCGTCCGGCGCTCGCGATGTGACCCGGGCCCAGGCACAGCCCGAAACTTGCATGGCGGAGAAGAAGGTGAGGAAGGAGGTGAGGAAGCAGGAGAGGAGGAGGAGGAGGAAGGCGAGGAGAAGTTGCAGTGGCCTTTGTTAAAATCTAGAGACCCTCACCTGGCAGGCGGAGAACAAACAAAAACAGAAGATGCTCCAAACCACCCACCAGAGAAGATGAGGCGCTGATTCGGCACAACATGGAGTTTGGCCAATGTTTGGGTTTTCACCAAGAACCAAAATATGGCATACCATGGCCACGTGGTCTACCATGGTATCATTCTCACCACCAAAAAACTCCAGCACCTCAAGACTTAGCTCTGAAAACGTATTGACTAGAAAATAATTTTCAAAAAATGGATCAACATATAAAAGAATTACAAAACATAATTATCATCAATAATCAAAACTATCAGTAAACATATTAATTATAGGCCTGATAATATTGATACTTGCTCATGACAATGATAATGATGACATAACCCCGTCGGTCCAAGTCCTCGCTAAACTAGGCCTTTGCCAAAGGCCTGGTTGAACTAGGCCTTTAGGACTGAGGTTTTCTCTATGTGATTAATTTTGAGGTCGTATTTTTGTGAGACTTAGCCGAGCAAGGTCCCAACCCCAAAGATATCCAATGCTTGAAAAATTGAGGGCACAACTTCGAGATTTGCGAAAATAGTGACACCGTGAAAAAACCGCGAGAAGGGCATGAAAAGCCAGTAAAAACCCCGTGAAAAGGCCGTGAAAAACCCGCAAAATCAGGTTCGTACAAAAAATGCAAAATGAATGGTTTTGCGATTTTGTGACCAATTTTTCTCATGAGTGCTCCCGCTCTATGTGGCTGCTGCTGATCTTACTGTGCATATTTTTTATTTTTTTCAAGGTATGAATTTTTTGAGGCCTTTAGTCATTTAGGTCCTTTACCCCAACGGCCGCGTTAAGCTCGTCCTTTGGACTGACTGGGTAATGACAAAATGATAACATAATTAAAAAACGATAATATTGCGCGTAAGACTCAATAACAGCAACACTAATCATTCACAAAATATCAACACTGATATCATCTCATTACTATAATACTATAGTACAAGCCACAATAATTATACTCTCTGGTAAACTAACATAGCTATTGAAAATGGCGATTTATAGTGGATTTACCCATTGAAAATGGTGATTTTCCATAGTTATGTTAGTTTACCAGAGGGTAATTCACCGGGGATTGGACCAACGCATGACAGGACCAATGGATTGGGGAAGAAAAACTGCCATTTATCACATTTTGGCACGTCCAATCAGCGGGTCCAATCCCCACCAACTCAGCATGTCCCTGTTGCATAACCATCATTTTTCCAACATCATCCAACGCTCCACCGACGCCGTTGTTCTGCCCAGAGACCCTAACTTGCCCTTGCCGTAGTTGCCGGGCTCCGCGGGGTCCACGGGGGTGTTCACGCAGAACTCGTAGCAACCGCAGAGGGCCACCCACTGCAACCAGCCCTCGGCGGGCACCTTGGTGATGGCGGCAATGCCATTGGGCACGTCGGCGAACTTCAGGTTGCTGCTGGGGGCCAAGTAGCCTCAAATGGGCACTGGAAAGCCATGATATATACATTTAAAAAACACAGAGGATTGAAGCATTAGACATTGGGTAGTATATGGTTGTGATCTCAAGTTTGATGTTCATGTTCGAAGTTGAAATCACTAATATGGACAATAATATATCAAGTTTGCAAGCACAATATCCCTAGAGTTTCTTATGTTATGATAAATATGGAGTATGGGGAAATGGTTTGGAATGGAATGATCTAAAGCACAGGTGTCCCCGGGTGTGGCATAGGTGACTTTACATGCAATATGGGCACCCCCAGGATATAAATTGGCTTATAAGCCAATCCAACTGTGTATTTTCAGTAGAAGTGTATATATGTATATAATATGCATGTATCAACAACAAATCCTAGTTAGCCTAGTTTGAAACCAACTTTCCTATCTGTAGGACACCATGGATTGTGAATTCAGGAAGGTTCTTCAAAGGCGAACTGGGGAACTTTGTCCGATGGAATTGGGGAAAAAAACATGGTGCCCCAGGTATGATCAACTGTCGATTTTGGAATGTTCTGACTCAAAAAATCTTTGTCAGGAGAATATTTTGCAATATCACATGATAAAAAGAAGGTACTGAATTCAAAATCAGTTCAACATATACATAATATACCCAACTCTCAAGACTCACATGAGTCAGGCAACTGAAGAGAGCTGGCTTAACACACAAGGCTTGTCACTGGGATCATCTCTGAGACATGTTGTCTGACAGACTTCAAGGTTCCGGCCACACGGAAGCAACATCCCTTGTCCCTGATCTACTGATATGGGTCGCATTAAATCCAATACCGAACCATGTTTTCTGTATATTATATGGAGTTCCTGATATTGCATTTGGCCATAAGTGCCATGCATATATACATACACATCCTTTTCAGGGTAACTAAACCCTTTAAAATTTCATTTGTTAATGTTTCATACCACTATTTACGAGCAGGAAAACCATGCCGACAGCTTGCCTGGGAATTTGAAGTACTCAGGGACCATATACCCAATGGTCGCAAACATGGCAACCTCGGGCCACAGTCTCAGGCAACATCAGATTTGATCTTCTTTCCAAGTCAATTTTTGCTGCTGTTGCTGTTGTTGCTGTCGTTGTTTTTTGTCGTTGTCGTTGCCATTGTCGCTGCTGCTGTTGCCGCTGCCGCAATGCTTGGCCTTGTTTGAACGGTGCAGCGTTTTTGTTGTTCACGCTTGCCGTGTTCCTCTTGCGTTGTGCATTGCATTTCGGGGCTGGATAGGGGACAGTTTCAAGAATAGGAACAACCAAAGTAACTACCAGCGATATGCGCCATGGTCAAAAACATATTCAATTGTATGTATATATATATATACCATTTATTATATATATAAATATGATACAATTTAAAATAGAATAGAATAATATATTATATTATATTATATTATATAATCAAAAATAACATAATATAATATAATAAAATATAATATGATATAATATAATACAATATAATACAGTATAATACAATATAATACAATATAATACAGTATAATACAATATAATACAATATAATATAATATGATATCATATCATATAATATATTCTAATATTATATAATATAATATGATATAATAAAATAATATAATATAATACAATATACGATACAAAATAATATAATATAACATAATCAAAAATAATATAATATAACATAATCAAAAAATATATTATAATATCATATCATATCATATGATATAATATAATATACTATAATGTAGTATAATATAATATAATGTAATAAATGTAATATAATATAATTTAAAATAATCAAAAAAATAAATTGTAATGTAGTATAATATAATATAACTTAATTTAATATAACACAATATATATATAATGCAATGGGGAAACCCATTATTGTAATGAATTGATGACCATCCCCCAATGCGGGTTTACAACCTAACTTCAAGATTATGGCTGCGTTTACCATTCATCTGCTTGTTTTGTTCGTCACCAAAAGGGTCTTATGTTTTCTCCTGTCTTGCGAATCTGAAAATTGACGACCTCCCCAACAGCAACCTTTCCATGGTAAGCCCGTGACAGCACCTGGAACTTTGAAGCAAACAGGCTAATTGTCTTACATCCACTTCACGACATTTTCTATGCAAGGAATCTGCTTCAGCGGTATATGTAGGTATATGTTTTGCCTCTGAAGAATGGCCGGCCATCTGGCAAGAACCCCATGTTCAGTGCGCAAAACCCCCACCAGTCCCTCTGATTTCGATGGCTCGAGCCACTGGCCACCGAAACCCCATAGTACTCACATGACCCCAGGGAATATATACCAAAGAATAACATATCAATATCGCAAGTACACAAAAAATGTCTATCTTCGGACCCCGGAAGATCCAAACCATTTTTTTTGGCAACAGTCGTACCCCGCTCCCCACACCAAAGATCTCTACCGGCATCTTCCAATTTCAGTGATAGAGATAGAGTTTTAAAAAGCACCTATATAATGTGGTTAAAGCAATCATAAACCATCCTCCAAATCACCATAAATGGGTGGTGTAAACCATTCCCAAATTGGATGGTTTATTATTGTTTTAACCACATTACATAAATATCATAAATATGAAGAGTAACAAGTCACACTATGTCCGAAAGTGACCCAACTATAGAGCCCACATTAATCTTGTTGATCTGTTCAACCCGAAAAAAAAAACATTTTCCCTAAAGGTTCCCGACATGCTGGATTCTCCATAGTTTCCACCGGTGATATTCATATATATATATATATATGTATATATATGTATATATATATATATAATTATATGTGTATATGTATACATATACGTATATATATATATGTAAATATATAATATACATAGATACTTTTCAAACATATATATATATATAACAACAAACTATATAAAATAGTAAATCATCAAACCCAAACCCAGCTAATCACCTACCCCACCTAGCCCCCCCAACCTCTCCCTTCAGCCAAAAAACACGGCCATTCTTCAGCTCCGCCTCCCGTCGGCGGCGGAAGGTCTCCACATCGCCGTCCTTGGACAGACCCATAGGGTCGAAGTAGCCCACGGGCGCCTGCAACGGAGAGCGCCAAACGCCGTTGCCGACGGGCCAACGGAGATATCACCTGTTAGGATGTATTCCTTTTAAAAAAATCAACATATTATAGGCATTGTAATGACATTCTATTATCTATATATATATACCACAAATATGTGAGTACGATTGAATATCCAATATCATACTTAATGACTATTTAAAAATGGAAAAACACTGTCAACATACTGTGGATGGACAAAAGTCCTACAGCAGGAGGTGGTAACGGCAAAATCCAGCACAGTAAAGAATGGGATTATAATGGGATAACATATCTACCAACTGGTGCAGGTTTGATTTTTATCCTTCCAGATCCATCCAGTGTATGATGGTAATATAGGAGTTTGCTGAATCAAAATGTTTTTGTCCAGAAAATAAGGAATTGAACGACGCAACAATTAAAGCAACAAACATGGGGACAATGTGGGTACAATGGTGATGTGCTGGGGGTGTCATGGGATATAGAAGCAACGTTGGGCCCCGATGGGTGCAAGATATTGTTCACACCTAAATTGCTGTTTCAGGCCGACCTGATGTTTTCAGCAACGTAGGTTACAAACATTGTGTATTCTATGTGTATATACCTCTTTTTGATGTTTGGGGTTCAAAGTTCAAAGCAGAACGATAGTGGATAATGGACTTTAACTTAATGATTTACCATAACCAATAATTCTATATGATTTCAATGCGGGGAGAATGGTTTCAAAGGGTCCAACAGGACCATGGTATTTCCATGTATTTCCTACAAACATATAATTACCAGTAGTAGCGCGCAAGGCGGTGGCGGAAGTTTCAAAAACAGGAAACCTATAGGAGAGCTTGGTCGTTGTGAATCATGGATGGCAGAGCGAATCCACTGCTGGACTGAAAGGCTTGGACTTGTGTTTTTTGGAATGGTTACAATGGTTGCAGTGGTCACCCGGTCGTCACCTCACCCACAACTGCTCGATGTAGTGTGGTGTAGCGCAGCTGTAGCTGTAGTTGTAGTTGTAGTGTGGTGGAGTTGTAGTTGTGGTGTAGTGCAATTAGTGTAGTGTAGTTGCAGTTGCGTTTGTGGTGGTGTAATGAATGCAGTGCAATGTAATGTATGTAAGGTAGGGTAGGGTAGTGTAGTGTAAAGTAGCGTAGTTGTAGTTGTAGCTGTAGTTGTGGTTACTGTAATGTAGTGTGGTGTGACGTAGTGCCGTAGTGTAATGTAATTAGTGTAGTGTAGTGTAATGTAGTTGTAGTAGTAGTAGTAGCAGTAGTAGTAGTAGTAGTTGTTGTTGTTGTAGTAGTAGTTGTTGTTGTTGTTAGTGTAGAGTAGAGTAGAGTAGTGTAGTGCAGTGCAGTGCAGTGCAGCGTTGTGTAATTGAGCGTAGTGTAATGTAATTAGTGTAGTGGAGTGTGCCACTAGTGCAGTGCAGTGTAATGTACTTAGTGTAGTCATGAAGTGCTGTGTAATGTAGTGGAGTGTAGTGTAGCGTAGTGTACTGTAATTAGCGTAGTGTAATATAATTAGTGTAGCGTAGCGTAATGTAGTTGTAGTTGTCGTTGTGGTTGAAGTTAATGTAGTAGTGAAGTGTAATATATATAATGTAGTGTAATTAGTCTAGTGTAGCGTAATGTAGTTGTAGTTGTAGTGTAGTGAGTAGCTTAATTTAGTGTAGTGCAGCGTAGTGGAGTGTAGTGCAGCGTAGTGGAGTGTAGTGCAGCGTAGTGTAATGTAATTAGTGTAGTGTAGCGTAATGTAGTTGTAGTTGTAGTTATAGTTGTAGTTGTAGTTGTAGCTGTAGTTGTAGTGTAGTGGAGTGGACTGCAGTGGTGGTTGTAGTTACTGTAGTTGAAACTGCTACAAAACCCTCACGTTTTGCTCACTTTTGGCAAGGTGCAGAATCCCTTGTGCTTGTCACGTAAAACGACATCCGAACGTCCAAAAGTGCTCCGTGCCCCTAAGTTTTTTGCACTTTTGACTTGGAAATGTGCTTCGCGCCACAACGGCGTGCACTTTTTCGACATATCAACTTCCAAAAGTGGTCCGACGTTGGTGTGTTTTGACTTGGAAATGTGCTTCGCGCTACAACAGCGTGGCATTTTCCATCTCTCATCTGGCCAGATGGCTCCGCACCTGCCGCTTTAGCGAGCCTACTTTTCGACCCTCCGGAGCCACAAATCATTGGAAAAACACAGTGTTTCGCGACTTTCCTACCTTTTCGCGCACCTGGATCTTCTTTCTTCTGACTGTCTCTTCTTTGATCCTCTTTCTTCTTCTCTTCTCTTCTCTTACTCTTCCCATCTCTGCTTTTCATCTGTCCATATTGTCGGAAGTTTGACTTCTAAACTTCCTTCGAATATACTGGTCTTTGATTTGTAATTACAATCAATAATTTCGAAGAAGGATGTGTACTTCGTGAGCTCAGTGGGATGAGTCTTGTTAGTCACCTGTAAGGACAATCAGGAGGGAAACAAATATAATCATGAATAATCGCATATATCATATTGGAATAATTCAACTACCTCTTGGATACTGCCATTACTTGCGCCAGTTGCCATACATTCCCCAGGCCTGGACACCCAGCTCATTCTCGAAGGCACGCAATGGGGACTCGGTGTAGTTGGCCCAATCACCCCAGGCAGACCCTGTAAGGCCATCTTGGAAAAACATGCCGATGATAGCCATCATGGCCAGCCTTCCGTTAGCGATTTCGGCATTTAGCTTCTTCTTCTTCACTTCAGGGTCGGCAATGGCCTTGCCACCCAGGTATCCTGGAAGGCCTAAGAATCCGTACTCGTAGTTGGTTGTCTCCTCACCGAACAAACGAGTGCAAAGCTTTCCAGGTGGGTTGGTTGGCACCTGGTGCATGAGCCACAGGTCGCAAATTCCGCAGAAGACGGTGTACTGGAACCAACCAACTGCGGGGACCTTGGTCGCTGCTGCCAGGCCATTGGGAATGTCTGCAAACTTGATTTCACTAGAAGGCGAGATGTAGCCAGGGAATCTGAAGAACTCCTGGACGATGTATCCTCAGTCCCAAGATGCAGCGCCAACTTTGGCGTCAAAATCAATCAAACACAGAATCACATATATATATATATATATATAATCAATCATATACATAATAACCATACAACATCATACGACATCATACAACATTGTACGACATCATACAACATCATGTACCATCATACAACATCATACGACGTCATTTAAATTCATACATCAAGTGTTTCTTCTCTTCAAGTCGATTCATGAATTGTGAATGGTTGTACCACAGCAATCGAGACAAAGAACTATCACAGAGATGTTTCAAACATGTTCAAACAACCCAACTTCTGTGAGTTTCCTGTGCATGCCAACATGGAGACTCGGCCATGCTTGATCTCCACAACTCTTCGGCGGTAGAATTCCTTTGCATCGCCATCCTGAGTATTAGTCATGTGACTCTCCAAAGTGATTCAGCAGCCATGCGAGATCACTCGAGGCTTTTTTTGTGATACGTTTTTGTTAACTTAGTTTGGGTTCCAGATCTGGTCTTGCAATGTTGCAAAAGCTCCTGTTCACCTACGTTGAATGTGACACTGCTACGGTTTCCATATTTTATCGCCTTGGTGATAATCGCCAGACAGATCTCTGGATGCCTACAGAAGGGCAACTGTTAATGGCAACATGATTGTAGGTACCAAATGTTCAAACAAATACATATTAGATCATATTAGTACATATTCCCATAGACATAGAAAATCCATGAAAATCCCTGGTTTCCTAAGGAATGGATCTACAAATTGGTGATGGTCCATGGCAATGAACATCCAATGGATTTTTCAAACCCTGCATCCCAGTGACACTCGACAGGCCGGCAGGGTCCCAAAAGCCCAAGGGAGCCTGCACACCTCGCTGGTTTCACCGATCTCGGGAACGTGAAAAATGTCGAATTCTTGGGATATCAGGGATATCAGGGATATCAGGGATATCAGGGATATCTGAACATGTCTATATGACATTGTATAAAATGTATAAATATATGTATATATATATTTATTTATAGGCCAAGACACGCTGAGATCATCTGAGTGGGTTTTGCTATTACTGTTTACCCATCCTCGTTCCCAAAGGAGGCGTTTCCTACATAAAGAACATCTACTCCAAAAACACCTAAAAGCTGCACAAAGCGAAACAAAAAAAAACACAAATCCAAGTGTTCATTGACTAAATGCACCATCCAGACACCGAGTTCGTTCTCAAAGGCGCACCGTTCAACCTTTCGCGCCGCGTTGGCATCCCTTCGGAGGGCCGCCACGGTGACTCCCAAGGCAGCGACACCTGCATGGGGGCTGTTTTTAGCATGGCGAGCTTATGATGTCGCGGGAACATTCCAGGAGATATCAAGCAAAAATAGGAAATACACACGTGTATATATATTTTTTTCTAATGTTGACAAAATTAAGGGATTAGGCAGGTATAATTAGTTTTGCTAAAATGTTAAAATGTAAAAAAATGCTCACTAGGGCTGGTTAAGTAGAATGCATGTATATTATATATTTATGGGAAGAGAATGAAAACAGGAGTTGCAAAGAATACGTATATATATATAAATCATTATATAATTCTGTAGACTTAGATACAATTACTATAGGACCTATAGGAACTCACGGAAAAGCAACTCTGTCAAGGTAGATTCACAGGGGAAAGTCGCTAAGTGCAGGCTAGCCTTCAATTTACAGTTTGCTAGCAGATCGTGCATGGTCACAGAACATTTGGGGATGAATTTTCAGACCCTGAGAGTCATAAATGCCTTTTAGATCTTTTTAGTAAACAAACATAGCTATTGAAAATGGCCATAGAAATAGTGGATTTACCCATTAAAAATGGTGATTTTCCATAGCTACGTTAGTTTATCAGAGGGTAGTATCTAGCAACATCACACAATATCCCCCCATCCCATGTTTGAGATATGCCCAATCTTGACATGGACACTGAACAAAGATCAACAAAGATGATCCCGGCCTACAGTGCTCAACATGCTACTGCCAGTGCTGGCTTGCCCCGCGCTGCGTCCTCGCAGGGTGGGTGTGGTGGTCGGCGCGGAACGGTGTGTTGGCAAAGACACAAAGGCGGTGCCAGCCACAACAGCAGCAGCTGCTGCAGTCTTGGACATTTGAGGAGCCATGGTACCAAGGGGCCAGGTGCTTCACGCCGGTGCAGACGCCGTTTTGATGCCAAATGGCTACAGAACACACAGTCAAACACATCATGTCAGTTAATGACACGAAGTGCACCCTATGAGTTAAGAGGAGATCTGAAATGCTTTGATGCACAGCAAATATCCACAAAACCTAGTCGCATGCATGCAACAGCTGCAAGCATTGGCCCCTACCAGTTACTAGGGTCAAGACTAACCCAAACTGAGGGTGACTAGAAAGTTCATTGGAGATAGACGATAGATGTAAAGTAGTAGGGGCCAACACTGCGAAGCCATTTTACTCTGACATATGGCAACTGGAAAACCTTTCCTGGTGGAAATCATGGTCTTTCGCTACGGAGCTAGCACAAGCTCCTGCTTCTGGCCGCACACCACAGAGAATGAAATCCACCGCCCAAAACTCAAGCATCACTTCTGAGGGACCGCAATGGGGACTCGGTGTAATTGGCCCAATCACCCCAGGCAGACCCTGTAAGGCCATCTTGGAAAAACATGCCGATGATAGCCATCATGGCCAGCCTTCCGTTAGCGATTTCGGCATTTAGCTTCTTCTTCTTCACTTCAGGGTCGGCAATGGCCTTGCCACCCAGGTATCCTGGAAGGCCTAAGAATCCGCACTCGTAGTTGGTTGTCTCCTCACCGAACAAACGAGTGCAAAGCTTTCCAGGTGGGTTGGTTGGCACCTGGTGCATGAGCCACAGGTCGCAAATTCCGCAGAAGACGGTGTACTGGAACCAACCAACTGCGGGGACCTTGGTCGCTGCTGCCAGGCCATTGGGAATGTCTGCAAACTTGATTTCACTAGAAGGCGAGATGTAGCCAGGGAATCTGAAGAACTCCTGGACGATGTATCCTCAGTCCCGAGATGCAGCGCCAACTGTAGCGTCGAAATCAACCATACATAGAATCACATATAATCATGCTTATCATATCAATTCATATAATCATACGACATCATACAACATCATACGACATCATACAACATCATACGACGTCATTCAAAATCATACAAAAAGTGTGTCTTCTCTTCAAGTCAATTCATGAATTGTGAATGGTTGTACCAAAGCAATCAAGACAAAGAACTATCACAGAGCTGTTTCAAACATTTTCAAACAACCCAACTTCTGTTGAGTTTCCTGTGCATGCCAACATAGAGACTCGCCCATGCTTGATCTCCACAACCCTTCGGCGGTAAAATTCCTTTGCATCGCCGTCCTAAGAATCCGAGTATGCAAACAGGGAGTGGAGGCAGAGGCACAAAAAAGGCTACCAGGTGCTACAGTTTTACCACCCGTAGCAGACTACTGATGCTCTAACCAAGAATAGACAAGCAATATATAGTTGTATGATGTTCTATGCAACATTTGCCTCGAAAGGCCAATTGCCTCACATACTTTTTAATATTGAAGGTACAGTAGATCGAATGCAATTACATGCAATTACATGCATGTACAATTAAAGATAGTTTAAACTATCTATATACACGTAATCAGGTCATATCAATAACATAACACAAATCATCAAACTATGTCCAAGAACAATCCAAGCATCGCTTGACAGCCCTGCTGGATCCCAAAATCCTAGAGGTGGCTGCACCCCAAGCTCATTCTCGAAGGCACGCAATGGAGACTCCGTGTAGTTGGCCCAATCACCCCAGGCAGACCCTGTAAGGCCATCTTGGAAAAACATGCCGATGATAGCCATCATGGCCAGCCTTCCGTTAGCGATTTCGGCATTTAGCTTCTTCTTCTTCACTTCAGGGTCGGCAATGGCCTTGCCACCCAGGTATCCTGGAAGGCCTAAGAATCCGTACTCGTAGTTGGTTGTCTCCTCACCGAACAAACGAGTGCAAAGCTTTCCAGGTGGGTTGGTTGGCACCTGATGCATGAGCCACAGGTCGCAAATTCCGCAGAAGACGGTGTACTGGAACCAACCAACTGCGGGGACCTTGGTCGCTGCTGCCAGGCCATTGGGAATGTCTGCAAACTTGATTTCACTAGAAGGCGAGATGTAGCCAGGGAATCTGAAGAACTCCTGGACGATGTATCCTCAGTCCCAAGATGCAGCGCCAACTTTGGCGTCAAAATCAATCATACACAGAATCACATATATATATAATCAATCATATACATCATAACTATAACCATACAACATCATACGACATCATACAACATTGTACGACATCATACAACATCATTTAGCATCGTACAACATCATACGACGTCATTTAGATTCATACGACAAGTGTTTCTTCTCTTCAAGTCGATTCATGAATTGTGAATGGTTGTACCACAGCAATCAAGACAAAGAACTATCACAGAGCTGTTTCAAACATTTTCAAACAACCCAACTTCTGTTGAGTTTCCTGTGCATGCCAACATAGAGACTCGCCCATGCTTGATCTCCACAACCCTTCGGCGGTAGAATTCCTTTGCGTCGCCGTCCTAAGAATCCGAGTATGCAAGCAGGGAGTGGAGGCACAAAAAAGGCTACCAGGTGCTACAGTTTAACCACCCGTAGCAGACTACTGATGCTCTAACCAAGAATAGACAAGCAATATATAGTTGTATGATGTTCTATGCAACATTTGCCTCGAAAGGCCAATTGCCTCACATACTTTAAATATTGAAGGTACAGTAGGTCGAATGCAATTACATGCAATTACATGCATGTACAATTAAAGATAGTTTAAACTATCTATATACACGTAATCAGGTCATATCAATAACATAACACAAATCATCAAACTATGTCCAAGAACAATCCAAGCATCGCTTGACAGCCCTGCTGGATCCCAAAATCCTAGAGGTGGCTGCACCCCAAGCTCATTCTCGAAGGCACGCAATGGAGACTCCGTGTAGTTGGCCCAATCACCCCAGGCAGACCCTGTAAGGCCATCTTGGAAAAACATGCCGATGATAGCCATCATGGCCAGCCTTCCGTTAGCGATTTCGGCATTTAGCTTCTTCTTCTTCACTTCAGGGTCGGCAATGGCCTTGCCACCCAGGTATCCTGGAAGGCCTAAGAATCCGTACTCGTAGTTGGTTGTCTCCTCACCGAACAAACGAGTGCAAAGCTTTCCAGGTGGGTTGGTTGGCACCTGATGCATGAGCCACAGGTCGCAAATTCCGCAGAAGACGGTGTACTGGAACCAACCAACTGCGGGGACCTTGGTCGCTGCTGCCAGGCCATTGGGAATGTCTGCAAACTTGATTTCACTAGAAGGCGAGATGTAGCCAGGGAATCTGAAGAACTCCTGGACGATGTATCCTCAGTCCCGAGATGCAGCGCCAACTGTAGCGTCGAAATCAATCATACATAGAATCACATATAAAATCATGTTTATCATATCAATTCATATAATCATACGACATCATACAACATAATACGACATCATACAACATTGTACAACATCATACAACATCATACGACTTCATACGACATTGTACAACGGCAATTCAAAACGTACAACAAGAGCTTCTTCATTTTAAGTAGATTCATCATGATTCATCAATCGTAAATGGTTTTACAATACCAACTAACGCAAGAATCACAGATCTGTTTCAAACATTTTCAAACAACCCAACTTCTGTTGAGTTTCCTGTGCATGCCAACATGGAGACTCGGCCATGCTTGATCTCCACAACTCTTCGGCGGTAGAATTCCTTTGCATCGCCATCCTCAGGACATGTTTTGCCAGGCATGGGATTACAACCATCCCCAAATGGTTTCACTATGAGCCTTTCCACATTATTTAGTGTAACTACAGTATATAGTTCAAAAAGGCGAATCAAGTAGAACTATAACTTACCCCTTGTTGAGCGATAGACGATGTTTCAACACTTGGGCCCAAATGCCACCTCTAGCGTAAGGTGTAAACATCTCAAACATCAAGTTCCTGATCACTCAAATTGAACTCAAAAGGATCTGTTGTCGCGTCATTTCACAAGAACCCTGGTCAAGACCGAGCGTGTCATATCGTTTTAGAACTGTACGTGGTAGCAAATGGCAGTATGATAATACCTTCCATGCCTCCATATCTGGAATCACTTATCTACTGAAGTATCAAGTGAGGGTAGGTCCAAATGCCAAAAAACGGTCCGGTGAACAACCACCACAATGAGAGCTGGCGTACCCTGAATTCCAAAGTTGGATATACACATTGTAAAACGTATATGGATTATGGCGTATATGCATTTCAAAGACAAAACAAACCCAAGCGTTCATTTAAAATAGAAGCTGAATATATGCTCATTTCATTGTGTATATGTAGTATCTATATAATACATATCATCAGTTTTGCCTCAATAATCATACCATTTTTACATGATATATCAGATATGGTTAGTGTATGCTTAATATACATCATATAATATATAGTATTCCATTATGGTTAGCACTCACATATTAATTCTATGAATATAATTACCATATATTTATTGTTCTTTATTATATAATGATAATAGCTATATTATATATACATATATATATATATACTATATTGATCTGTATTGGTATATCTATTCTTATTAAAACTATATGTTGCCCATAGCGATCTTCTCAATCTGAAGAAGCCGAGTTTTTAACTCAAAAGCGTCCCAGCGGCACTCGAGAGGCCCGCAGGGTCCCAAAAACCCAAGGGCGGCTGAACACCTCAGGTGGGATCGCTGCTGCTGCTGCTGCTTAGCTATTTTTTTGACATGGTGAATTTCCAGGTAATATGTATAATATGATTAATGTATGATATAATTGACATGGTAATATGTATAATATCTGTTTTTTTTACATGGTGATTTGCTTGACATGTTTACAGGGTATAGACTGTCAGAGTAATATGATATAATACCAAATAAATATCCGAATGGTTGTCTAACATAGCCAAGCCCTCTTGGCCGTTTAGTTCAATTATAAGCCTTTGGAACTCCCCGTGGCCTGAAGGTTTGCCAGGAAAATCATCGAACTAAATGGTGGGTTTTCCAGGACAATCTAACCTGGAACATTCGAATATCTCCCACTGGGATAGATATGGATGTGTAGCTTTAGATGACCTTCTGATTATTTAATGTGGCTATCCAAAATCACCATCTTAAATCGATCAATGATCATAAATCATCTTGGAATCTGGCCGTTTTCCATAGCTGAAATGATTAGAGGGTTCATTACGGTTAGTTCATCCTTGCACCATGGCTTTCACACCAAAATATCTGGGAACCAGTAGTTCGCTGGATGTTCATTTGCCCCTAGGTTTTAACTTAATCTTGATGATGTTGCAAACCCATCTATATACTGTATGTAAAGGAAAGCAACCAAAGGTAAGCAACGCTATATACACATTATCAACAAATCAAGCAACATGTTTTTTCTTTAAACAAAAAGACCGTTTAGATCTTCAAGTATCATTCAAATACAATGGTGAAACATATGGTGAAATACAGGTTCATTGAAATCATCATGAACGTGTTATTAACCATCTAAGTTGGTCACTAATTACCATTTCAATGACAATCAACATCTGGATAATGCTTTATTGTTTTGAAAATGGACTGTCATGTTCACTCTCATGACCCAGCAGCAATGAGGAGTTCATTTACCCTCTGGTAAACTACCATAGATGTGGGAAAAACACCATTTGTAGATCATTTTTCGAATGGCTTTCTCCATGGGTTTTCCACATCTGTACCCCCATTGTGATTTTAATAGGTAATTCATCATGTTTTTCATCTATTGTCATCTATTTCTACGGGCCATGGCTTCCATAGCTATGTCCAACTATCAGAGGGTATTGGTGAATACCATATGTATATATATATATATGGAGGTTTCCTCAAATAGGGGTACCCTCAAATCATCCATTTTCATAGGATTTTCCATTAATTATAAACCATCCATTTTGAGGATCCCCCATTTATGGAAACCATTATGTGTGTGTATATATATATATTTATTTATACATATCATGATCATAATCATAACAATCCAGGTACCGAGCTCATTCTCAAAGGCCCGGCGCGGAGCGACGGCAACGCGGCTCTCCTTGCTCCGCAAGGCTGCTACCGCTGTGGCCCCCAGCGCGACGCCTCAGGGCGCGTCCGTTGGGTTTGCCATGCAGGATGGGGCCCCATAGCTAAGTTGCCTTAGTGGCTGAATTCTATGGTTTATGGTAGATATAACTATAGCTAATGGGGTTTATAAAGCAACTTATAACTGGGGGGCCACCATCTTGTGGTTTCCCCGCCACTCTCAATTATGTCGAGGACTTTTCTCCATCGAACATGTGGTTAAAGTAGGGTTTTCTGCCATGTTTTTCCCTGAACAGAAAAAACACTGATCATTCAGAAAATAAGATAAGCCATATCATCTTGAGATGGGTAGTATAGAATGATGGATAATTTTCACATTTACCCTGGAGGGAAATCTTTAGCCGGGTACGGTAGTGTGTGTATATATTATAGCCACAATATACGAAATTATATGAACATATAAAAACCATCAAACTAACCACCACCCAAGGGGTGGTGGTCCATGTCCCATTTGAATCCGTTTGAAAAATCACTCAATATGAAGATCATCCGCATGAAGCGTATCAAAATGATGTTTCAAAACACCAAAAAATTGACGGTAACCAATTCAGGAATTCCGATTTTTTCGTGGATCCAACATGATGGCCTTTGGATGTGCTACGGCGACATGGAGATAGTAACTATAAAGTTTATTGAAGTTCTGCAGAGCAAGCATGGCGATTCTTGTTCCGATCAGGTTCTCTAGTAGTCTCTCCCAGGGTCACTACTTGCAAGATAATTAGACCTTGTATATTGTTCTGTGATATCCATGGATTCAGAATAATTAAACATCAAAGGATGCAGGGATAGAACCCTCTCTGCACACGCATTTCTGAAGAAGCAGGTAGGACTTCTCATTGAACAATTTTTTGGGGAAAACCTTTAGACTTTAGACAAAGCTACTTCTCCCACCTTGATCACCCTTCCAACCAGCCGCGCCTACGGTGCTCAAGCTGATGCTGCCATGGCCACCCCGTCGCAAGGCCGTCGCAGCCCCGGTGGCCGTAGTGGCCGTCGGCGCCGCAACGGGCCGCGACGGCGCCACAAAGGCGCTGCCGGCCACGGCGGCCGCAGCGACAGTCGCCTTGGACATCTGAGGCGCCATGGTGCCCGGATGGGTTGTGACCGCCGCCCACTTTTTTGGATGCCAAAATGGCTCGGAAATTCGAGAAAAAAAAACGAGAAAGTTGGGGAGTTTCTGGATTCTAGCTGCTAAAAGACATGACCTGACAGCGCGACATGGTAAACCTATATCTACTCCCCAACATGGCTTAAAGTCAGGGTGTATATAGAGTATGGCTACAGTCCATCAAGGGATAGATCAAGTTAGGGATTTCTTTGTGGGGGATAGACCCAGCCAACTTGGCCATTGGATGGTTCGCCTCGCTAGTCATCTATTGGAATGGGATGGATATGGAGGACTATCTGGACAGCTGCACTGTACTCGTTTTAGCATTGAATTGTCGCGCGGTCGCCACATAGCATGGTCCTGCTTCACTTCAGATGCAAAAAAAAGGTTTAAGCTGTCTGTCTGTGAATCAGGCCGAGTGGACAGGACCATGGGTGACTCTTGGCGCAGCATTATCTGCATGTGTTGCAACTCCATTGGCAATGCCAAATGGAGACTTCCTTCAGGTGGTTCAACACTCCACACGCCAGAAATCGGAGTTCTGATGCGATCTGATGAGTGCCATCCTATAAGAATGTGAGCAGTTTAGTTTTACATGGATCGTCACACAGGGGATGGAATGTACAAGTGTTTGTCTGAACATAGGATTTGCTAAAATCTCATGGTTTATCATAAACACAATTTAACAAACAAGACAGAAAGTAAAACACACACACACACACTAGACAAGAATGGATCTTTGAAAAGATCCGTCAGGAACTGACTCCTGTAACATGCAAGTTAGATGATCATGAACCAAATAACAATGAAATCAACGGAAAATTCATAAATGTGTTGGGTGAGGTCCTTGGCTTAGCCTCTTGCCACAAACGGTCGAACCACTGCAGGTACGTCAAAGGGACGTCTCCCTTCGATATCACTGTGACTTCTGGCCGTCTTCGTTGGCACAGGAACCAGAGTCACACCTGTGCCCCCTGCGTTAAAAAAGGGAGAGGACAAAAGAAAGAAAAAGAGAGAAGTTTTACATCTATTCAGATGTTACACACACACACACACCCAGCCGGAGCCGGGTCAACCCTGAAAGGCAAGAGGAAGAAAAAAGCGGACACAAACGACGGGCCAACGACCAAAACAGCGCAGGGGGGGGAGGGGAACAGACGGACCTCCGGAACCAACCTACACGGCGAAACGGACCTGACCAAAACAGAGCACACGCCTAAACCCCACGACAAATTACGGAGAGGCAGGAAGGGAGAATTAGGGACCAAATGGGGGACTAGTTGATGGCAAACAAGAGAAACCAAAACAATTAGTTTAGAAACAGAACTCAGTTCCTAGATACCTAGAGGTCGTGCGTTATTCCCTTGCCGGGATGGTAGTCAGGTCAGCCCAGAGGGCATACAACGGCTGTTCAAGTTCCATCGAATTAGGTGCACAACATGCTTGACCTCACCAGACAATCATCAAAAGAAAGAGTCACCAAACCTGCAAGCATGGACCTGCCTTGTTATTCATGGTGCAGTGCAAAAGCTGAGTAAAAACTGAAGCTGCAGCGAAAAAGGAAGTTTCTGGCAGTTCGGCACAGCTGCACAGTCGAAGAGTTCACAAGGGACCGCAGGATCAGCGGGACTCTCAAAAAGGCTGAAAAAACCGCAAGGCCAGCTGTTGCACTTTCCTTAAACGAATTTCAAAATTGTCACTTCGGAGATCAGGTCAGTCGACATTCACCCTAAAAAGGGTTCCCTCACGTGGGTCCATGGCACCATGTCGGAGCCACCATGGAAATCACACTAGACAAGAATGGATCTTTGAAAAGATCCGTCAGGAACTGAGTCCTGTAACATGCAAATTAGATGATCATGAACCAAATAACAATGAAATCAACGGAAAATTCATAAATGAGTTGGGTGAGGTCCTTGGCTTAGCCTCTTGCCACAAACGGTCGAACCACTGCAGGTACGTCAAAGGGACGTCTCCCTTCGATATCACTGTGACTTCTGGCCGTCTTCGTTGGCACAGGAACCAGAGTCACACCTGTGCCCCCTGCGTTTTTAAAAAAGGGAGAGGACAAAAGAAAAAGAGAGAAGTTTTACATCTATTCAGATGTTACACACACAAGAGGGTCTAACCCATGTTTGGACAAACCAACATATCACATCTCACATCAAGCTGGTCATATAATATTATATAATATACATATACATATATATGTATGACATATTCTAATCATATTCCGCACCATGTCCCATGGTATACCCATTAAAGAAGGAATATATAAACTATAAAGTCTAAAATCTACGTACTGTACTGCATAAACCATTGTATTCATTCGGCTATATCATTTGGTTACATCCCTATCTTGATTGTAAATGACTGTCAATAACTCTGAATCATCTGCCCGATCATTGCACAAGTCGTCCTGAATCCGAACACCCGAAAACCGTAAAACCATGTAAAAGCTCAAACCCTAAACCATAAGCCCCAAACCCAAAACACACGAAGGAAAAAAACATTCTTAAACCCTAAAACCTTGGAAACCAGTGATGTTGGGCGGCATGGGATGTCTGGGCCTAACCTTACTGCTCCTGGTTACCCCACAAACTGCTGGTGAAGATCAATAGGAAAGTGACAACTCCACCCAACGATTTCGCCGGGCGTGGCATTGAGAACAGAAGCGATTTCATCGCGGGCTTATTTCAGGGATTCCCAACAGATTTCCTCAACAAAACACATATACTTTGCTGCAGAGTTACATCATCAGCAATTGAAATTCAAACCACTTTCAAATGATATGTCAACTTCCACAAGGGACATCTGTTGGAACTCCTATCTAAAAGATAAGGGCACGGAATTAGAAATGTCCGGAAGATTGGGGAACAGGCAGACTGGATCTCAAGTGTACCTTCAGCACAGATCGGGATGAGGCAGAGGTTTCTGCAAGATTTCCAGAAGCCACTTTTTCCATCTTTGAATCCTAGTTTGAAACTTCTGCTGATATTTAATGCTGCACGTGAACAGTGAATCAATGAACCATGGAATGGGATTGGACACTGCAGGTCTGGTTGACTCGTTTCAATCTCTACTTTGCGATCAGAAAACAAATGGATACAAATGGTTCAAATGATATCAACTAATTGTTCTCCATGTCACTTTAACCTTTGCATCCCTTTGCTGGCTACCGTTAATTATTTGACGGCCAATTCAGGGAACCCTGCCTTCATCTGCAAATAATGCTCATGGAATCTCATGGATTTCCCACGCCTTTTCAATGACAAATGGCATGGTCCATATGTTTTCCTCTAACCAAAACAAAGCAAATAGTTTGCATGTTTTTATTCCCGAGAGCGTCTGAGCGCAGGGTTCTTCCAATAGTGGGGGTCTGTAAAACATCTTCTCATCTTCACATCTCATCTTCACATCCTCTCATCTTCACATCTGCTCATCTTCACATCCTCTCATCTTCACATCCTCTCATCTTCACATCTGCTCATCTTCACACCTTCCCATCTTCACATCTGCTCATCTTCACACCTTCCCATCACATCTGCTCATCTTCACATCTGCTCATCTTCACATCTGCTCATCTTCACATCTTCACATCTTCTCATCTTCACATCTGCTCATCTTCACATCTTCCCTCACATCTGCTCATCTTCACATCTGCTCATCTTCACATCTGCTCATCTTCACATCTGCTCACATCTGCTCATCCTCACCTCTTCTCTCACATCTTCTCTCACATCTGCTCATCTTCACATCTGCTCATCTTCACATCTGTATCTCATCTTCTCATCTTCACATCTGTTCATCTTCACATCTTCTCATCTTCACATCTGTTCATCTTCACATCTGCTCATCTTCACACCTTCTCATCTTCACATCTGCTCATCTTCACATCTGCTCATCTTCACACCTTCTCATCTTCACATCTGCTCATCTTCACATCTGCTCATCTTCACATCTTCTTACATCTGCTCATCTTCACATCTGCTCATCTTCACATCTGCTCATCTTCACATCTGCTCATCTTCACATCTTCTTATCTTCACACCTGCTCACCTTCTCTCTCCCGCCTTCTTTTTATCTTTCTCTCTTAAGGCCGAGGGTGGTGCCGGCGGCGAGTCACGAAACGTCAACCCTTTCGCAGGAAATGAGGGTCGATCGGCAAAAACTGAGGTAAAATTGCGATTTGACTTGTCCCGGAGCAACCCTTTCGCACGAAATGAGGGTCGATCGGCAAAAACTGGGGTAAAATTGCGATTTGACTTGGCCCGGAGCAACCCTTTCGCACGAAATGAGGTCGATCGGCAAAAACTGAGGTAAAATTGCGATTTTACGTGTGCTAAAGCAACCCTTTCGCACGAAATGAGGGTCGATCGGCAAAAACTGAGGTAAAAGTGCGATTTTACTTGTCCTGGAGCAACCCTTTCGCACGAAATGAGGGTCGATCGGCAAAAACTGAGGTAAAACTGCGATTTGACTTGTCCTGGAGCAACCCTTTCGCACGAAATGAGGGTCGATCGGCAAAAACTGAGGTAAAAGTGCGATTTTACGTGTGCTAAAGCAACCCTTTCGCACGAAATGAGGGTCGATCGGCAAAAACTGAGGTAAAACTGCGATTTGACTTGTCCTGGAGCAACCCTTTCGCACGAAATGAGGGTCGATCGGCAAAAACTGAGGTAAAACTGCGATTTTACTTGTGCCGTTCTTGTCTGTGTGTAAAAGCGCCTGTGTGTAAAAAGCGTCTGTGTGTAAAAGTCTATGTGTGTAAAAGCGTCTGTGTGTAAAAGCGTCTGTGTGTCAAAGTGTCTGTGTGTAAAAGCGTCTGTGTGTAAAAGTGTTTGTGTGTAAAAGTGTTTGTGTTCAAGTGTTTCTGTGTAAAAGCCTCTGTGTGTAAATGTGTTTGTGTGTGAAAGCGTTTGCGTGTAAAAAGCGTCTGTGTGTAGAGGTTGTCTGTGCGTAAAAGCGTCTGTGTGTCAAAGCGTTTGTGTGTAAAAGCGTCTGTGTGTAAAAGTGTTTGTATGTAAAAGCTTCTGTGTGTAAAAGTGTTTGTGTAAAAGTGTTTGTGTAAAAGTGTTTGTGTAAAAGTGTCTGTGTGTACATGTGTTTGTGTGTGACAGCGTCTGTGTGTAAAAAGCGTCTGTGTGTAAAAAGCGTCTGTGTGTAAAAGCGTCTGTGTGTCAAAGGGTTTGTGTGTAAAAGCGTCTGTGCGTAAAAGTGTTTGTATGTAAAAGCTTCTGTGTGTAAAAGTGTTTGTGTTACAGTGTTTGTGTAAAAGCCTCTGTGTGTAAAAGCTTTGTGTTTAAAAGCGTCTGTGTGTAAAAAGCGTCTGTTTGTAAAAGTGTTTGCGATGCAAACTACTGTCTTGCACTTCTCACTGTCCTGTCTTGATACTCCTCTTCTCGACTGCCTATAACAGAGCTTTCATATATCGTTTCTAATATTGCGTCTCCATACTAACAAGAGAAGACCCTGCTCCCCCCTGAACTGGCCGAGCAAACATGACTGTAAGCATTTCCAGAGCTTCTTTTGGTGGCCGTGGTGCTCGTCTTTGGAGATTTTGGAGGCCTGCTGCATGTTGCCGTGTGGCAGTCATTCGATGTTTTGCAGCTAGCTTTTGGTAAAACCGCATGATTTTGCGAGTTTCAACTGCAAGCTTGTGTTCCGTTTGTTCGTGAAAGCATGAAGCTGGTCGGCGCAGCTATTGGTTCGAGATTTGTATCGCGCTTGGCGTCTATAAGTTGTCACTCTGGGTTCGCTGCAACCGGATATGTCCGAGAAGGTCCGAGAGTTGCAACAAGGCTTGACAGAGGGAGGAGTTGATCCCTTCCGGCGCCAGGTGCGCAAACTTGGGATCAATGCATTGACGGCTTTAGCTTCTGAGCTGGGGATGTCAGTGTGTGGCATTCATTCGATGCTTTGCACCGCATGATTTTGCGCCAGGTGCGCAAACTTGGGATCAATGCATTGAAGGCTTTAGTTTCTGAGCTGGGGATGTCAGTGTGTGGCAGTCATTCGATGTTTTGCAGCTAGCTTTTGGTAACACCGCATGATTTTGCGCCAGGTGCGCAAACTTGGGATCAATGCATTGAAGGCTTTAGTTTCTGAGCTGGGAATGTCAGTGTGTGGCAGTCATTCGATGTTTTGCAGCTAGCTTTTGGTAACACCGCATGATTTTGCGCCAGGTGCGCAAACTTGGGATCAATGCATTGAAGCCTTTAGCTTCTGAGCTGGGGATGTCAGTGTGTGGCAGTCATTCGATGGTTTGCAGCTAGCTTTTTGGTGAAACCGCATGATTTTGCGCCAGGTGCGCAAACTTGGGATCAATGCATTGAATTTGAAAATGAAGTGCATCAGCATGAGTCAACCAGAACTGTCTGAGACTTGTTGATGCACGCATCTTTGCTTGAGACATTCAGTTTCACCGTAGTGCATCCTGTCTCACCGTAGTGCATCGGCGTGCGTCAACACCTTTGTGAGCAGCTTAGTTATTTGATGTTTAACTTTGATTCTTGTATTGCAACCAGAACTGTCTGAGCATTGAATTTGAAAATGAAGTGCATCAGCATGAGTCAACCAGAACTGTCGGAGACTTGCTGATGCACGCATCTTTGCTTGAGACATTCAGTTTCACCGTAGTGCATCCTGTCTCACCATAGTGTATCGGCGTGGGTCAAGCAGAACGGTCTGAGACTCCATAGAAGAGCAATAAAGCTGCCGATTCCTTTTGCGCATATAGTTGTGCCGGGACATCGCTGAATGTGATCTGTCACAGTCATTAGTCATAGTCCTTGAATGCTTTGCGGGTCCGCATTGTTGGTCTGTGCAGCTAGGTTTGCATCGAGTCAGGGCCCCGGGATGGGATGGATTACCTGGATAAGCTGCTACCACAAAGAAACAAATCGATATATTTTATATTGAGATAGAGATAGAGATATGATATAAAGATGGATGCATGACTTTTAATATATAGAGATGGATGTATGAGTGTTAAGATAAGAGTTTCCATTCCAGTCACAGTCAGGAGTCAGGACCCTAAACCCATAAAGAACCAACTTCTATCATATTGTAATACTGTGCGTGTCCCAGCCCAGAAACGGTCGCTGCCTGCCAGGTCCGCCCGTTTATACTTTTTTTTCAGGAGATGGCAAACCACCTTGGTTGGGGGGCCCCAAAGCACATAGCCCGCATGACATGTTTATACATGCTGGTTTCGAGGCACATGGAAATAGGACTTCGCCACCACCCCGTCGGATTGCTGAGGTCGCCACGACAACGATGACTTCGCTGTGACTACCTGGGCCGGCCTCTGTGTAAAAGCGTCTGTGTGTACAAGTGATTGTGTGTAAAAGCGCTTGTGTAAAGCCGTCTGTGTGTAAAAGCGTCTGTGTGTCAAAGTGTTTCTGCGTAAAAGTGTTTGTGTGTAAAAGCTTCTGTGTGTACAAGCGTCTGCGTGTAAAAGCGTCTGTGTGTAAAAGTGTTTGTGTGTAAAAGTGTTTGTGTGTAAAAGTGTTTGTGTGTAAAAGTGCCTGTGTGTATAAAAGCGTCTATGTGTAAAAGCTTCTGTGCGCCAAAGCGTTTGTGTGTAAAAGCAGCTCCTGTCTGTAAAAAGGTCTGTGTGTAAAAGTGTCTGTGTGTAAACATGTCTGTGTGTAAAAGTGTCCGTGTAAAAGCGTCTGTGTGTCAAAGCGTCTGTGTGTAAAAGCGTCTGTGTGTAAAAGCGTCTGTGTGTAAAAGTGTTTGTGTGTAAAAGCCTCTGTGTGTAAAAGCGTCTGTGTGTAAAAGCTTTCTGTGTAAAAGCGTCTGCGTGTAAAAGCGTCTGTGTGTAAAAGAGTTTCTGTGTAAAAGTGTTTGTGTGTAAAAGTGCCTGTGTGTAAAAGCGTCTATGTGTAAAAGCTTCTG